TTACATAATCTTTCAGCTTAAAAATTTCTGCCTAATTTTGATATCAGATCGATAACGATAACATTAAAAATAGCATTTATCTGCCAATAACAATATGGCCGCCGATATATCGTGCATCCCTAATTTAAAGATAAATTAAAACTTTACCTAGAAAAAAGAGATTATTTATTTAAAAATGTATTTTATATTATTTGTAACATTTAATGCTAAGAATATAATATTATATGTTTTATAGTTTATATATTGCAATTTAGTCAAAAAAGTAACTGATCAGGTATAAAGTTTACTTATAACATTATTAATGGGCGGGAAGGTGGATCAGTGTGTAGCATTGTCGCCTCACAGTCAGAAGGTCACTGGTTCAAGTCCCGGCGATGCCAGTTGGCATTTCTGTGTGGAGTTTGACTGTTTCCTCCGTGTTTGCGTGGGTTTCCTCTGGGTGCTCCGGTTTCTCCCCCAGTCCAAAGACATGCGCTATAGGTGAACTGGGTAAAACAAAACATTGCCTGTAGTGTATGTGTGTGTATATATTGCCTAAAAATATGCCAGAATTACATGGGGGTTCATTCCCCTGTGGCAACCTCTGAAATAGAGACTAAACTGAAGGAAAATGAATTAATTAATATTATTAGTAATAAAAGTCCACTCTATTAATGATATGTAAAAAAAAAATCTTAGAACATTCTGTGATTTGGTTCAGGGTTTGGTGAATCCGTGTGCCAAGTTGAAGAGCAAGTGGGCGGGAGGGGCAGGCATGAATCCGTGTGAGAAGTTGAAGAACATGGGGGTAATGATCCATGCGCAAAGTTGGAAGAGCAGGTTGGGGGAGGCTGAAGGTGGTTGGTGATCTGTACGCAAAATTGAAGAACACTTGGGGTATTGCATGCATGAACAGAGGCTCAAGCACCCAAAGCCCCCATCTGCATGTCCCTGCAGTCCATTACTTTAGACATTGTTTTTATATAGTTATTTGTTTGTTTATATTTTAATGTGTATCTGGTCACTGATCAGGTTAAACTTTTTTTTTTTTTTACTTTTTGCCATGAAAGACCAGCCTAATACCATAACATACTTAAAACAATATATAAAATAAATATCTATTTACATTCTCTAAAAATCCCCTCTTGCTGTAAAAGGCTTATTATTCTCTTATCATTGCCACTTTTATAGCTTAAACCTTTTAGAGTCCAAAGATTATATAAGATTAGTATTCTACTATTGTTCATTTGTTAGGCCTGGAAAGTGTCTGTATTGTTTTGGTCCTGTGTTTAGACATGATTTGTGTGGTCAACGTCTGCAGATGGCTCTTCTAGCTGAAAGAAAAGGCCACAGATAGAGCATTAAGCTGATTTTGCTGAGCGTGGCCTGGACATGCTCTGATTCTCCTGTTCAAGCCTCCCCCAGCACAGCCATTGTAAGATGTGTTTGGTTTCAGTCGTGTCCCTGTGGGATCACAATGATTGACACCTACATGCACTGCTTTTTATTATGCTCCCAAAACATACAGTAGTTACTTTTCAGCTGTTGTGTAACATACAAAAGATTAATTGCCAGTCACAGCTCAAAGAAACAAAAATACATCACGCATGGAAATCTGAAGTCACAACTGTCACGAAACTTTAATACCGGGGAATGGCATTAAATTACTTCTGTTCATTGAAGTTGTCAGTTTTTTTTATTATTAGAAAATTTTGATGGGGAAAAATGAGAGTAAACCATATATTTACAATTGTAAGTTAACTGTACACTACTGGTCAAAAGTTTGGGGTCAGTATTATTTTTTAAATGTTTTAAAATAAGCTTATCCTTCTCACCAAGGCTGCATTTTACATCAAAAATACAGTGCAAACTGTAAAATTGTGAAATGTTATACAACTAAAAACTGTTCAAAAGTAGTTTTTATATAGTTATAGTTTATATAGTTAAAGTATATATATATACAAAAAGTGTTGTGTTCAAAAGTTTTAAAACGACATGCAGGAAGGTAAATAATGAGGTAATTTTAATATTTGGGTGAACTATCCCTTTAAGAGACCGCCTAAAAATTCTCAGTTTCTCTGGATTTCTTGGATATGGGTTTAAGTCAAATATTAATTGATGAATATGAAATATGCATGTATGACGATGTATGATGAAATATTAATTTGTTTTGTATTCTTTAAATTCTATAAATGACATTACTTCCAAATATAATTTAGATCTATAAATATATTTTTTATTAAATAACATTCTTGATATTCTTTCAAAAGTTAAAGCAATGCTACTGTGTTGTCTAAAAACTATACAGTATGTCTGAAAACATGGCATCTTTGTTATTTTATGCAATAAAAATGTTATGCGTAAACATTTTTACTTTAAATTTGGAAGACAGTGTCAAATCTATAAATCATATATCTAAAGAAACTAGAACATTTAAAAATGATCTCTAGTTGTACACAGAGCTTAATATTAACACTCGCCAGCCCGCCAAATGCGGGTAGATCTCAGCTGTGGCGAGTTAGACAGCCACGGCCACTAGCCACTTTGGCTGGTTAAAAATAATTTTTAACATGTAGTTTTCTTAAAAGACAATAAAGATGGCCCAATATGCGTGCAAATGCCATCTTTGAATCGAGAAGCAGCACAACTGACAAAAAAATTTGTGTTCGCGCGAGCAAAAGAAAGCAGGTGAATACAGAATGAGAAGATGATGCGTTCGACTGTTTAAAAAGTATGCTCCTCTTGTTTCCTTGCGTGAAGCAACCGTGCCTAGAAACGCAACTGGTTTAAACAATTGTCTTTCAAATAGACTAGACAAAAAGTTATGCTCATGCAACCACAGTTACTTTGAAGAGCTCCAGATTTGTCTTTTTTGAGCAGCACCGGTTGCTTTTTCTTTAACCACTATTTGAACATATTATTAATTGGCGTAAAATTAACCGTGTGTGTGATCATCCTTTCATTACCGCACACGGTATGTATGTCACCTGCTTTCTTTTGCTAAATTATTTTTGTTAATATGGTTTAATTATATATATATATATATATATATATATATATATATATATATATATATATATATATATATATATATATATATATATTTTTTTTTTTTTTTTTTTTTTTTTTTTTTTGCAATAATATTGCCTTTAACTTCCCTTTTATGTGTAGTTAACTGGTGATCTGGGACCTTCAGCCAGGACAAATTACTGTGCAGTTTTAGATACATGACTAATTATTTTCTAAATGTCAATGAATTTATTATTTATTTATTTATTTTTTTTTTTAAAGAAATTTTGTTAAATAAAAAGTATAGTATACAACTATATTTTGCTTGTTTCGACACTTTAAAAAAATTAGGGCAAAGAAATAATTATTCATTTATGTTTGGTGTGGTCAATGATCAATTTGGTAAATCTTTCATTTTGAGCTCTGAAAATTCATGTAAAATAAATACTAATTGTAATTTGACACTAATATGACACTAAAAATGCTCATGCTCATTGAGCAAGCTCATACATGACACACAAAAAGTTAAATGAATGAGGAGGCATGTGGAAATGTGAGTCTAACACAAAATCTTATTCAAGTAATTTTAGCAAGTCAAAGTCATATTTATGCATATAAAATATATTTTCCAAACAACAAAATTGTGGCTAGTGAAAATGCAGAGTGGCTAGTAATGTTGGAAATCTACTAACCACAGCGGCTGGTGATAAAAAAGTTAATGTCAAGCCCTTGTTGTACATATTCTGTAATGCAGGTATATTATTTGATAGTGTGTAAATTACATTTTAAAAATGCTAGTTGATTCAACCCAATGGGGTATATGCACACAGACTTTTCATTTCAGTCAGCTGGCCACAGGGCTTCTGGTTCATTGTCATCCCATACAAAATCGCTGTGTTTATTTCTTTAAAAAACAACAATCTAAACTGCCTGGGTGACATATGATGTAAATTGGGTATCAGACCAAACAAGAAGCACTAAATTATATTTTCCGCGCTGTGTCTTTAAAAATGAAATCTATTTTTACCTTCAGCATTTTCAATGGAGTTTCTGCGTTAGCCTGCTTCTAATGTCTTTCGTCTCTTTTTACGCTAAACAACCAAATGGATGCTTAAGTCTTTTTAACGGATGATATTTGAATTACATTACAACCTCGATGCTGTAAAAGAAACATTATGAAATTGAAAATAGTCACCTAAAGGTTTCACTGGAAGTTCATATTTGGCAGAAAAACACTAGCTGTGCATAGAGCCCATTAAGCATCAAATATGGACAAACTCAACGATTGGACAATTCTTTTTTACTACATTTGAACCCAAAGGTCGGATTGTAATATATTATACTTTAATACAAATTTTGGAGTGAAATCTGAATAGTTTTTTTTTAGAACTAGTAATACTGTTAGTTTGTACAGTGACGAGACAGAATCCATTACGCTACTTATTCAAACAAAAAGTGAGTTGAGCGAGGCATTGAGATGGAGAAAAGCCTTCTCTCTTGTGTAGCCAGATGTCTGCAGGCCTGATTTGTGCTTGTCTAGAGTGACAACAGGCGACTTGTCTGTGGTCTGCAGGACGAACAAAACAGTAGAGCAGGTGTGCGAGTGTTTGACTTTGCATAGCCATATTGCAGCGGCAAAAGGATGATTTACTCTCAAACCTCAGGAGCTCACGATCATCGGCGCTGCTGCTATTGTTCACCGCTTATGTGCAGGTATTCAGTAACGGGCTTTGCTTCATCCCACCCGTGTGAGAAAAGGACAAGACTCCCTCCCAGCGCTTGTATCACAGTCCACGGGTTCATCATTAGAATGAAAATAGATAAGCCAATGAGCAAATAAAGTGGCAGGGCACAGAATATACCAACTGTTTTAAACTGTCTGTTTGCATATACTGTATGAAAGACGCACAGAGTGGCAGCGTGAATGGACTGAAAGGAAGCATTGTGAATGGCAGGGCGGGGTGTATTTCAGTTGACTGTATTGACCAGGTAAGATTAAGTGATGGACTTACGGTGTAGCGCGGGCCGCTTGTCTGACGTGACCTCTTTTCTGCCAGGAGATCTTTTACAGTGTGCTTCACCCGGACACCCTGATACACTCTTTTCGAGCATTCTGCAAATAAATTAAAGAAAAAAAAAACATGAGATTTGTGCAAGGAAAACGCATGCATTGTGTACAATATCAATACAACACCATTAAAAACAGTGTGCTCAAAAATTAAAATTAAAAATGCAATCACACAAGAAACTTTTTTGCATGAATAAATATATAAAATCTAAAATACAGCATGCTTGGATTAAGACTGCTAATGCTATTCAGACAGAAGCTTAGATTTGTATAATATTTGGAAAACACTTTATTTTGATGGTTTGATTTTAGAAATTGTCTTGACTACAAGTAAATTTGCAATATTTCAAAAAAGGCTGCATGATATTTTCTACAATATATGTTGTGTATAAATATAATTTCGTACAATGAATTAGAAAGAATCTGAAAGAATTAATTCATTTAGACTAATTGTAATGATTTCGAAGGGGAGTGCAACTGCCTTAAATAGATGAAACAGTAATTAAAAGAATAGATGAAAACAAATAGACCACAAATAAAATTATTCAAGCAATGCTTTTTTTTGTGGAGTCTAACAGTATCCAGGTACAGAAATTCAGTAATTAAATATAAATGGTTATTATTATTATCATTAAATATTAATTATTTATTAAATTCATTAATTCATTTTCTTTTCGGCTTATTCCCTTTATTAATCTGAGGTCGCCACAGCGGAATGAACTTATCCAACGTATCCAGCATGTGTTTTACGCAGTGGATGCCCTTCCCGCTGCAACCCAGTATTGGGAAACGCCCATACACACTCATTCACACATATACACTACGGACAAATTTAGCGTACCCAATTCACCTATACAACCTGACTTTGGTCTTGTGGGGGATACCGGAGCACCCAGAGGTAACCCACGTAACACAGGGAGAACATGCAAACTCCAGAGATGCCAACTGACCAAGCCGAGGCTCAAACCAGCAACCTTCTTGCAGTGAGGTGATCGTGCTACTCACTGCGCCGCCGTGACACCCTTATTTTGTAATTAAATATTATTTCATATTATTTATTTAATATAAAAAATAAATATGTAAATATAAAATGTAAAGTCCTAATTGAATAAATAAGTTAACATTTACTTATTGTTAGAATTATGCGAACATTATAATCTTTAAATTGCAATTTTACACAGGCCTTAAAAACAGTTGGTGTAAACCTTGCGATAACTCCACGAATCTCATGTGTCCTCAACTGTGATGTCTGCTCATTGTAATTCAAATAACACAGCAGATTCACACATTTCGACAAATATCGATTCTAAAATGACATAGTGTGTAGCCCTAATGGCAATTCATCTTGCATGCCTAATATGTGGGAACACATTTCTCTAATTAATTAACTAATTTTCACTAAAGTATTAGTAATTTGACTGCTTAATATTTTTGAATTTATCTGGATGGTCCTCTTTAAACATCACGAGTAATTAAATGTCATCTAGCAGTCATTAGTGCTAGCAGTCTGCCTTCTTAATACCAACTACACTACAAAATTGTGTATTATTACATTACAAACACACAATTTCTCATTTGCAGCTTAATTTATGAGCAGGTAAAGTATCTCTAGTCAGTTTTATGGCATTCATTTATAACTGGCATGGAAATTATCTTTGGTTTTGGTCAATGCAAATTGGTCAGTTTACAAACACTAACTCTGTCCAGTTGAAACTTCACTAGGGGCCAATTATCACTTTACGTTCATCCCAATTCAGCTAACGTGATTCAAAAAATGACCTCATAGTTAATGGGTGAAGATGCACACAGGGCAAAACACGAGTTTTGTTTCTCTGAAATTAACGTTATTTCCCGATAATTCCTGGGAAGCACAGATCCTGGTCAACAGAACAGTGTATTTGCAATTTAAAATGTCCGTGATAGGAAATTGCATGCAAAAATCAGTGTAGTGTTATGTAAAAGACCCCAGCTTCATGAATGAAGTTGAGTAGCTTCGAATTCTGCTGCTATTTATACACCTCAAAGACTATCTGATATTGCACATTTGTCCAGTTTCTGCTGTATAAAGCACAAAGTACACTGTCCCATGTCTATCAAGGTGATTTCTTGTAATCAGGCAAATGGACCGGTTAACATTGGAGTTAAATATTACATGATGTAGTTCAATCATTCCAAGAAGATTAACCTAGGTGCATAAATTAAACAGCACTGCAAAATGTTTTCAAAGACCAATAACAGGTAAAATTACACCTTACCAGTTTCCATGGTGCAGATACCTCAGATACAAGTAGAAATGCAAAATGGAAATGGACACAGCTATATCTATCCAAGAGAAACCAATGTGTCTATGCCCAAACTCCAGCTGAATTTGACCATTATACCAAAGACATGAAATCCAGCTCCGCTTTAGTGAACTATACTATAGATGCTGATCAGAAGTCAGCTTTTGAAATGACCCTAACACATTTGTTTGCATGCAAATAATTGCCAGGACGTTTTTCAAGCATTTGCATCAACCTTCTAGATTAGCGAAGAGAAAGCACGAACGACACGCCATCGTCATCGCTAATATCAAGTCTAACCTTTGCAGGTCATTTGGTGTTTTTATTTTATTGGAACACATGGTGTGATCCCACCAGGATTTCACTTAATTGCATTGTAAAATTAGATAAATCTACAGAGGATAGCTTCAGGTTCATTATTAGGAAAGTTTGAGTCTTAGATGTGGAATGTTTCAGAATGAGGAAAAATGTGGACCAAAAACGATAACTCACCACTGTGAGTTTGTATTGTTTTGTGTTAAATGTTTAACAGATTTTTCATTTAGGTGTTGTTTAGACTGTGTGACTGCCAAAAAAAAAGATTAGAGTTTTTGTCCTTTCTGTAAGTGACTCAGAACTTCCAAAACAAATATTAATGTTTTCCTACTTCATATACTGCAAGTAACTCATCACTCACTCACAACTTCCTGCATGGACAGTTTCATCCATTTGGATGTCTTTCCAATGCTCATGATATCTTTAGCACTAAGTGAGCCACTTATCACGCATCTAAAATGGAAATGTCATCAAAAATGTGTCATCAAATATTTGGTTACCTAAAAATATAAAGTGAGACAGTTTCTCTTTTGTCAGATTATTGCAATATCATGACAAAATGGTTGTTTGCATCACTCATATTACACACTTTATTAGAAGTTAACTGATACGTTTTAAAAAATATTTTTCTGTCTAAGCTAAGTAAACATACATTAGCACAATTTCAAATGTGAATATACTTTCATGAATAGTAATATGATGTTAATATTTATTACATAGTTTGAACTACAATATATTGTTTGAACTACATATACATATATATATATATATATATATATATATATATATATATATATATATATATATATATATATATATATATATATATATTTAAAAAGATAAGAAAATATTGACCCTAAAACAAAAATATTTTTACTCTAACAAATAACCAAACCTTGTAAAAGGTTGCTTTTTTCTGTGCAATAAATAACTAAGAAAATATTGACTACAGTTCATAATATATAAAATATATTAATTATTTAAAATGATTCTAAAAAGTTTTTTATAAGTATTTATTTTCAAAAATAATTAAAAAAGGGCAATATTAAATATGTTGTAACAGAAAACAACTAAACAAATAAACACCTTTTCTTTCTTTTTAAAAGATTTAAATCTGGATACATCTAGGCATAGCTGAATAATAAGAGTTGATGACATGGAAATGACATACCGTGAGCATACCCCATGCTGCCTTTGATTGGCTACAGCGTTTTTTAGTATTATTATAACAATTAACATTTTTCCCCTTATTTTTAAGTTTATCTAAGCTTCTCATAAACATATCATACAGTAGATTTGGGACTCTTATTTTGTAAATGAAGGAGGCAGGGATTCTAAAGCCTGACATGCTGAGCCACATCTTTACGTTGATTTCTATACGTTGGACACTTAGTGACTGATGTGGTTTTTTTTTTGGTTTTTTTTTAAATCTGTGAATGTATTTGTATATTTATTCAGCACCACACTAAAGAGGCATAATGCTTGTTTAACTTTGTCTTTGCTAATTAATCATATTGTGAAATTTGCAGTGTCTGGTTGTAATGAGGCAACAAACACATGTAACATATGCCGAATAAGTGCTCAATGTATGTTTAAGAATTGTGTCATGTCAGCCAGCTTTTCTGGTATTTTTCTGGAGTGAAAAAACACCAATAAACTTTAAAATCTCATCTGTTTAAGTAGAAATTGATATTAATTCCTGCCTCAGCTTACATATTTTTCCAGGCTAAATACATCTGTCAGTCCTTTTTTTGTCAAATTAGCCTATAATTATCATCGCACGTCATGATTTTGCCAAGTATGACGCAATCTGGATTAACATCTATGTTGATCCTGGAACATAATTTTTGTTGGAAAATGTTATCCATACATATTCCCCTTGCAAATCCAACCATAACTGTATATTATTCACCAAATCAGAGGGGAATAATAGTTGGATAACATGTAGTTGGACATGTAACATGTAGAAGTGCATAAACCTAACGTATGCCTAAACATAACATAAAAAGTAAACATATACTTTTATTCTAATTGGCTGATTGGAATGTTGTTTCAGGATCGGCATAGATGTTAATCCAGGAACATGTCCTACTTGGTGAAATCAGGTTGGTGAAATTTATTTCATCCACCACACAATTCAGGAGCAAAACTCTGATACATTTAAATATACTTTAAAATGCAATTTATTACAGTAATTTAAAGCTGAATTTTCAGCTACATTAGTCAAGCCAACATAAATCATTCTAATGCTTTTATTTATTATTTCATTTTATTTGTGGGGGGGGGGGGGGGGGGGTCTCAATTTAGAAAATAAGAAAGTGTACATTTACAGCATGCGTTTTTTTGACAGGAGATACTAATAATAAAAACTTCCACAAATATGTGCTCAAATATTATAAAGCCACATGATTTTTTATGACTGAATCAATAAACAAGTAAAAAAC